TTTTATTTAATACATTAATTTCTGTCAAAAACTGTGACACTGAAAAATTTGAAATACCCTTAACCTTAATATTAAACAAAAAAAAAATATATATATATATATCTAACTCAAGTGTGTGAAAGAAAACAAAACAGCTAAAAATTCACATAAAAACTAAATATAAAAAAAATAGAAGATAATAAGATAAATCTATAAACGTATATTTTTCCATATATTATTCCTGAATCTAGAAATGTATATTTTTAATAAAATAAATTCATCAAATGCCCGAGAATATAAATATTTTATATATAGATACTTGATAAATATCCTGTTTAGGGGAATTCTTCTCTAATGACCTTGATCTTGACATACAATATGTTGCCAAGGTTATGACTCTGAGTGATCTCCAACAAGTTTTAGCCATCGGTCGTTAATCGTTAAAAAGTTATTAACAAAAAAAGTTTAAAAAATAACGTTTTCTTTCTACTATATATATTAAAAACTATTCTATTAGTATATCCTTCCTTACTTACGTAATGACTTTCTACGCGAAGCGAGTTCCACCCCATCTCGCAAGGTTGCTTCGTGTGGAAGTCGTACGCTTATAAACAGGGGGGAAAATGGGATGGGAGTCGCTTCGCACACACATGCAGTTATAAAATATATTTTAAAGCAAGAAATTTTTGTTCTATATAGTGAAAAGAGATATCATTTTTCAATCTTTCCTTCTTATAACTTAAGTAACTTTTTAACAAGTAATGAGTGGCGGCTAAAACCTATTATTACTCAAAGACAAGGTCATTGGAGGGGGCTCTCCTAAATAAAATATTTACTAGATACTTTATATATAAGATTACATTAAAATTTATTTACAAAACAACGTTTAATTAAAAAAAAATCAAATTTTCTTAGGTAAACTCGATTGCCTAACTGTCATAAATTATATTCGCATAAATTGTAATAAATATATTCTACAAATCAAAATTATCTATAAAGTTCATTAGGTCAATCTACTATGCGATTCGCAAAAATAGAATATATCTAACATTTATTAATAAAACGATAAATGTATAAACATGCAATAAACTGACTTACCAGCAGGGCAAAATCGACCTTCTGGACCAGCAAATTCAGTCAAGTTTCTCCTTACTGGAACGGTATCGTCCATCAAAGTTAAATGGGCTGGTTGATCAGCTTCGTGATTAGTACCAGTCAGAGCTACTGATGACAGAAGATCAAAAGATACCTCGTTATCTGGTTTGGGATATTCTATTGGCGTTGACTTGGCAGCCGATTTCAATTTCTTATAATCAGGACCTACGGATACACGATACGAATATAATATTTAAAATTAACGTTTGCAATATTTTTTTTTTTTTCAAGAAATCTCTTCAAAAACTTCTATATAAATCGATTTTTACCTCCATGAGATAAAGTCCACGGTTCTTTTCCGCCTAACAGCATAGAGAAACCAGAGTACATTAAACCACCGTAAAGCCCAAGAGAAGAATGGAAACTGGGCCTCATATTTCTTACGGCTTTCAATTCCTTATAGATCCAACTATTTTTTATTTTATCTGTATATGTTTTCGGCTCTATACCTTTTGTCAGTGAGATATTACTTTCTGCGTCTACGATTGCTTCGATAACGCTTTCTGCAGCCAACATGCCACTTTTCATAGCATTATGAGTTCCTTTAATTTTGGGCACGTTTAGGAAACCTGCCGTACATCCAATAAGACAACCCCCAGGGAATTGAAGTTTGGGAATAGATTGGAATCCACCTTCCACCAATGCTCTAGCACCATAAGCTATTCTAGAATTAAGAAGAACAAATGTAGAGAATATGAAACAGTATGTGCAACTAAAATTTCGAATTAAAGACATCAACCTTTTTCCTCCTTCAAATGTTGGTCTAATACTAGGATGCTGTTTAAACTTCTGAAACTCTTTGAATGGAGATAGATAGGGATTAGTATAATCCAATCCTACAACAAAGCCTACAGCAACCAAAGGTGTTTCTTCATTTAAATGATATAGAAACGATCCACCGTATGTATTTCTATTAAGTGGCCAACCAACTGTATGCTCTACTGCTCCAGGTCGATGCTTACTTGGCTCTATCTCCCAAATCTTTCAAAAATTATTTCACTTTAGAATGTAAAGCGTTTTATATTTATATAATTTTAAATTTTGTTATTATAATATAACTCGTTGATAATCACCTCTTTCAATCCAAGACCATATGTCTGCGGTTCACAATCTTTTCTGAGATTCAATTTCTTCGACAACTGTTTCGTCAAATGACCGTGACAGCCTTCTGCAAATATGGTACATTTCGCATGAAGCTCCATACCCCGTTCAAATGTATCTTTAGGTGAGCCGTCTTTAGCAATACCAACATCATTTGTAGCTACTCCTTTAACAGATCCATCTTCGTGATATAAAACTTCTGCCGCTGCATAACCAGGATATATCTCGACACCAGCAGCTTCTGCTTGTTCGCCAAGCCATGTTACTACGTGGCCTAATCTATAATTACAGAAATATAAATTTTTACAATCAGAAACAAAAATATATTGTTTACTCATTTACGAATATACAACAGTATTAAATTTCAACGATCACCTTACTATATAATTCCCATGATTGTACATTGGCATTCCCTTGAAAATAGGTATAGATATCCTCTTCTTTTCCATGAGAAATGCAAATTTATCCTCAGTAACAGGAGTATTTAACGGTGCACCTAATTCTTTCCAATTTGGAAAAAGTTCATTCAAAGCAATTGGATCTAAACAAGCGCCACTAAGGATATGTCCACCAATCGCAGATGCCTTTTCAACAAGGGTAACCCTGAATTCCTTGCCATGTTTCTCAGCCAGTCTACGAGCTTGTATAGCTGCCGATAGTCCTGCTGGACCACCACCGACAATTAGAATGTCGGTTTCGTCTACATACCTCTCCATGTTCACTTCTGGTGGATAAAACAATCTCAATTCATTAATTGTATTATTTTAGTAAATAAGAAAAATCAAAGGAAATTTACCTTTCCATCTTGAGTCTGTCTCCCTGGATTTCACTGTATAATGAGTGGTGATCTGAGGAAATTTGGCATCCGAGTAAGCCCTTTGAAATAACCTTTGCAGCCTCTGTACTGCCAAAAGTGCAACCAAAATTAAATTACAACATGCAAGTTCTCGCATTTAAATTAGAGCATTTCATTGTATACATAAGTAAATATATTCTATTTACATTAAAAGCATATTTAGATAAATAATAAATTAGTTCCAGTTATTTACTTCCAGTCATTTATACACAATTACATGTTATCGATATATCAATTACAAAATTTTAATTTTACAATTTCACGCTTCTATAAAAATTTATTTTTTCATAATATTCTCATATTTTTTCCTCTTATTTTTTATTTCAAATAAAAATACATTGAAGTTTTTATGAACTTTTAGCGCTTAATAAGAAGCCTATTCTTTTTAGTTGAACTTTAGCATCAGTTCATCTTTCTTCCTTTTCTCTCCAGGAGGAAACAGGCCAAAGTTCTCACACTTTGAGGAAAAAGAGACAAAAAATACATAATAAGTGTGGAAAGTGGATTATTAAAATGCCACAGTCCGATTCACGCTCATAACGCTTAAAAATCATTTTATCCTTGTTGTTTGTCAAATGTTAAACGAAGACAAATGGTGCTCATGAGTTGCCAGCATGAATCGAACCACGGCCTTATATATAACACGGAGAGCAAAGGGCAATCTTGTTTACATCACGTTAACGCAATCTGAGAGATAGAGAGAGAAATATCAATTGATATTCGTTAAACAAAAAATAAAGGCACCAAAAACACAAAGTAAACAACACCAACAATTTATTTCAAGTAATAAACATTTATTGATGGAGTGCGCACACGCGATTTACAATCGTAGAACGAGCGATAAAAATATTTACATACGACCGTAAATATATCTTATAATAAGACATTGAACGTCTTTTAATGACGTTACATAATATCGCGATATATTTTTATAAATCATTAATTATCTCTTGCAAAACATATCGTGTTATTGTGGTAAAACAATCGTTTGAAAACGGAGCAGTCAGTAAATTCCAAACAGTACGATTGTCATTTTCGAGTATTGTTAATCCATTGCGGTATCTATTGCGATAAGATTATACATGC